CGAACGAAACAAATTATACATGGCCACGGTAGTGTGACACACAGCCCTGAATCATTGTGAGAGCACCACGGGGGCGTTTGCGACGCTTTAGTGCGAAGCAGTATGCGACTGTTTATGTAAATCCTATGAATGAGCAACGTTCCATGAATTGTGCCTATTCTCAGTAAATCTGCCTAGTAAAAAATCTCCTTGCTTTTACCCATTTATAACAAGCATGCCCTCGGGAGCGCATGGAGATTTCGTAATCTGACGGCATTGCATGTTTGGTACGGAAAAGTGAGGATGATTAGACTTTTGTTATACAATATTGTAGAATAAGTGGTTGAGTAAAAGCTAAGGAAAGGGCTGCAGTATGTTGATACTTACCGCTGAACAGAACTTTCGATGTCCAAAGACTTACAATCATCACATACCATGCAGTAGTGAGTAGCAGCTAAAGTTGCTTCTTTGATAAAATCCGGTGCCGGATGCCATGGAGGTGGTCCTTGTTCTGTCAGAAGGCCCATCGAGAGAGGAGAGCCATTGAGAATACCAATGCCCTTATCCTGAAGAAAAGATCAGAAATCGTCAGGGGTCATTCGCACTTGCTCGTAAAGGAACCGACTTGGAACAGGAAAGTGAATTCCCCCACTGAATTGTCATTCATAGATCCGTGGCAATATGTTTGCACTACGTCGATTTTAACTGGAGAACAATCAATAATTGATCTGAAATTAATCCAGATCAAGTGGTTTCGCAAGAGAAAAATGAGAGGATTTTGAAAAGGAAAGGAAAGCACATTCAAATCAGTAGGAGGTAAATTTCTTGTTTTTTTAATGACGGAAGAAGAGCAGAAGGGGGGTAGAGAGGTATATGGTGAATTTTTCATTTGTTTTCCTCCTTTACAACTTCATCTCCCTTTCCCATTCCCCTTCTGGCTCCCAACACGACTATCGCTTTATTACTACCGCAAGTATCGCTTGCCTTCCTTTTTGCAAACTTACATGCATTAATGCTACTTTTTGTGAGAAGTACGATGTTTTGCGTCGGAATGGCGACACTCAATTTTTTGTCTCAAGCATTTCTATGCGCTAGAATTCCTACACAACTTTGCTTTTCTCAAGCTGCGACATTCTGGCTCAGTAGCTCCAGATAAATAATTGCGACAGCACAGCTTTTACAATAAATTTGATTTGATTGTATGTCGTCCTAAAATTACCAATTTGAAAAACAACTACAGTATAACTCTATCTTTTCAAAATCCAACTTACGCTAGTCTCCTCAGTCCGTACCCAGTGAGTCCTACGTATCGAATTTTTCCAGAATTGCGTGCCATTTCAAGAGCTTGTAGTGTCTCATAAAGTATAATATTGCGCTGCGGTTCAAAATCAGCGTCGTGGATCTGCCGAAGAATCTAGCAATTAGTGGGAACCAAGCAATTTGCAAAATTA